TTACGTTTACGCGTATTTCTGATGCCTCAGAACCAAAAATTGGTTCTTATTAGTAACAAGTGCAGATACCCTTGAAAGTATCTTAGAACACCTTTTTTGTTTGTCTGGGTTACGTTTACGAGTATTTCTTGCTCATACGCGAAGGACATTCCGAGAAGTCTTCTGTGGTTTGTTCTCCCTGCTTCGCGGGTGACATAGGATAGAAGGTAGTGGCAAAGTGTAGCTAAAATCCCTTCCTATATCTTTCAAAAATACGAGTATAAATTCAAAGGGAACTCGCTCGAAAATGAGACTATTTCTTTTTTTGAAGTTTCCTATATGTGTTTTGCATCGCAGTGGAATGAGCGACAGTAGAAGAAGCAGATCGCGGTGTTCAAATCACCCAAGCCCTAAAGACAAAATAAGGTTATCGTTTTTAGCAAATAAAGTCTTTTCCTCAAACAAAACGAAAGATAGATAACAAACAATTCTATACTTGCACATTCTGTGCGAGGGAGAAAATCCACAGGTCCATAAAAGGCTTTCCGGCAATACAATTACTTTTCGAACACAACAAGTAACTTAAAATATATTGCCTTGAAAATCTCGAGCCTACAAAATGTAGAAAAAAGTCCAGTAAATTGACAGAATGATCTCCAAAGGACTTTCAGCGTTTCTGTGCATGACGCCATTAACCTCCCAAGCAAACATTACCTATGGGAAAAATCTAGATACACTTCGTCTGTAACTGTTTTTTCTACAAAGGGGAACAACACAAAACACATTATTTGTCGTGCGATATCATTGAGGAAATTAAACGCGCGTGAGTGAAGTCTTTTTTGGTTCTATGTTTAAGGTTTTTAAGGTTCTATGACATTTTTTATTCAATAGGTCAAAAGAAATAGAATGAGAACGAAAAAACCTTTTTTTTATAATCTTGATGTTTTTGGTGAAAAAAGTTGTATGAGCAATTGTCTTTGATAAAGGAAAATATTAAAAATGGTATAGATGATAATGCCATGTAAAAATTTGTGTGTATCACTGTTTCTGCTTGATTTGAACTTTCAGGCGTTTATTTAAAAGAAACCTAAACTTAGAATAAATTTTGTTCTATCTGTTATTCGACGGTCGAATGTATTGCCTATATAAAAGAGAAAAAGAGATAAAATGTGCGCATGGAAAGGAGAAAAGCGAGAAGAAAAAAAGTGACAGAACAGAAAAACAGCCTAAATTCACTATAAGAGATCGTAGAGACTGTGGCGACACACGAAAAACTCAAGATGTAATTATAAGAAGCCCGCTGTCGGATCCGCCTTGAAATTCTGCATATGCCGCCTTAGTTTCATAAAGTTTGGTCCGGCGCGGAGCTTGCACCTAATTTTCTAATGATCGCTTTTGACGTAAAACTTAGTGGACAATGGATAACCGAGCATGTTGATTCCGAATATGGCGCTGGTTTTTGCCAATGCGTCTTTGGAGAACCCGGTCTTTGAAAAACTGGGTTTTCGCAATGAAAACGTGTTTTTGATCAGTGCAAATGATAGCGCATGCTCTAAAACCTACGCAAAACTATTTTTTAAGGTTTTGGAACGGTTTTGAACAGCTTTAAAGGGTGAAAACTTAATACTACGGCCGAACAACAGCTTTTGACGTTCAAACTTTTAGTTTTGTACGCTTCCGAAACCTTAAAAAATAGTTTTGCATAGATTTTAGAGCATGCGCTTTGATTCGTAAGGATCAAAAATATTTTTGATCGAAAAAGTTGATCAAAAGCGGTTTCACAGTCGGGAGCGCCTTTCCGCCTAAAAGTAAAAACAAAGCTTTTCATATTTCAGATTAAGAAAGTTAGTTTGGTTTTCTCTTTTTTGTCAACAGTCTTCGAGAGTAGGACTGCTAATCTCTACTATGTGAATATTCCGTTCGTTTTTCTTTCTTTTTTAATGCTTATTGCACTATCATCGGCGCAGCAAGAGTATGTCGCTCATGGTATCAGGATACACTTGGAAATAATACAATGCTGTGGCCCGGTTTCACTTGGACTTATTGTCTTTTGATGAATCATTCTGATTATCAAAACTATCAATTTGAAAAAGGTGATGATCATAACGAAAAAAATGCAATTCAATATTACGGAAAAAATAGTGCTTGTCGATATTTCAATAGTCTTGTCTATGCACTCTTCTATATTATATTACCATTAATGGTTATGGTGATATTTGGGATCTTAACAGTAGGTAATGTAAGAAAATTAAATCGTTTAGTTGCACCGGCCAGTAGTACTACTGGGGGTAGTACAGCACTGGCACTAACCGGATCATCGAAAAAGAATGATAGACAACTAACGAAAATGTTGCTTGTTCAAGTTCTGATATTAACAATATTAAACGTTCCATATGCTATTCAACTAGTATATTCAACATTTTCAGCAAATATTTATAAAAGTCCATTACAATTAGCAATAGAAAATTTCTGCTTTGCTTTAGTACTTGATTTTAGTTGGTGGGCCTTTGGTATGTCGTTTTATATTTATACATTAACCGGACACGTAATTAGAAAAGAATTGAAACGTTTAATGAAAACAGTTTACGAAAACGTATCACGGTTAACTCACCGAAACTGACGACAGACACAAACAAAATATTCTTTTTTATTAATACTTCGAAAATAGTCGTTTATACGAGAAAAACAGGACAACTATAACTTTTATTTATCTCGATTTTTATCATTTTTAAAAGCGAGTTCTGATATTAGGAAAATTTACTTTGTGCGCTGGAGTGCCACTAAGTAGTGCTAACCAGAACTAATTAGTAATTAAAAAACGGTCTGAGATACCGTTTTTAAACCTTTTTGTATGGAAAATTATTTGCAAACAATTCTCTATCAGACCACACTACAATCGATTGAATGTAACATTTATATCGAAAGCTAGAAAGCCTTTAAAATATGACTGTCAAACTAAAAATTTCAATTATTTTTGAACTTAAGTAATTAATAACTCTGTCAATATTTGATCAACGAGTTTTTTTATTGCATAGGCATATGATCTAGGCAAGATGTTCTCTACAAAATGGCCAGATTTGAGGGTATGTTTAGGGGGAGGACACCCCCCTTTAAGTGAAGTTTTGATAACTGAAATCTCAAAAAACTGAATACTCGCGTTTGGTTGGGCATCTTGTTTTCGGCTTTTGTCAGCAAGAAATTCAAACCACTTTTCTAGGTGATAGCTCTGACAGCTCACTATGTGTACTATAAGTGTACTATTAATGACAACTATGACATCGAGTATTATCAAATCTTGATGTATCTGCTATAAAATCAGAAACAGTATAATGTATTTTCTTCAACTCGACTATAGAAAGTGTGCGGAGATCTGTATGTCTCATCAAAAGATGGATGATAGTTATATTAGTGTTAGGGAACAAACTCTTAAATTCCTGAAGCAGCTTCGAACGCCATTGAGTATAGTTTTTACATTCAAGCAGGTAATTGGGCACTGCCTTACCACCATTACAAACTCAAGCTGGACTTAGGATAAGTTTACGAGCACAAAGGTCACTGTTCAACTATGAAAATACCATTCTAAACCTCGTAAAATGAATATCAATTCGATCATTGTGTGATGGAATAATAAGAGGGAAAGAAATCATCAGTCTTCACCATAAGGCTACTAAATGTTTTGTACTTTACATAAGAGCAAAGTTCGGAATCAAGTCCTTTCCACAACGATTTTTTGTTATACCCACTATTTTTCTGTTATACTCACTATATCTTGAAGATATAATAAAAAATACAAGAAAAACTTGGCATTTTCTCTGGCACACACATCAACATAATTTCTCGAAACATTCTTGGCTTACAAAATAATTTTTAGAACGGATAATACTTTTATTTTCCACTAAAAACACTTTTTGAAGACATTCTCTTCTCATTTCTTGAAACAGTTTTGGCTTACAGAAAACTTTATATCTGACGTTTCACTCTAAAAAGGAAATAAACGAACAAAACACTTGGTTAATTAAGGCTTACCGACACATTTGTTTTCTTTCGAAATTACGTATCCCACTTCCTTCGTTGCGATGGCAAGGACTAGGATTGAAATCTTGTGTAGTGCTGGAGAAGGTGTTAAATTTTAATTAACAACACTTTCACTGTTTCCTATTTTGCATTTTGTATTACATTCGCTGAACTGCTTTTTGGTCAGAAAAACTTTCGCGACTGTCGCTCTTCTAGAATATAGTTTCGCATCTTTCGCTGAAAAGTCTTTGCTGTATTGTCTTTTGCTAGATCCATCCATACCGTAAAATTAAGCAGAAAACAACTTTGCAGACACTCTCTAGCATTTCAAATTGTTTAAATTGATTGTAGACAGGCATTCATAGAAATACATTCAGTGGCGCATCGATTCAATGTCTGAAGTGATAAATCCTAATTAACACCTTCAACAAAGGCAAATCGTTGTACAGAATATAGATAACAGAACGGTAAATTTAGTTTTGTACTTTACTACAACATTTTCGAATCTCTATTCGTACAAAAGTTGATTTTGTGTTTTTCGATAGTTTTAGTTTAGAATACTATAATGGAATATTCTTCCGCTTGTATTCTGACAGAATAAAGCTTATATCAAAAGCAAATCGAGGATTCTCGCCTCTATTACCTTCCGCTTTAGAAGGATGAAGATGTATAAAGAAAGCGCCTCAATTGAGACTGACTATATTATCCAACTGAAACGGCTAAGAAAACTGATTATCCCAGCTTTGTCTTAGCTGCTTCTTGTGTGTTGCTTGACTCCATCCTGCTGAACAAATCTTTTCTAAACTATTCTGACTCTTCTTTAAACAAGTCCTCGTCCTCCTGAGGCTCTCCTTTCCTGATTGTGTTACAGACACTTCTTTGATGCGCATCCAGGGTGTTTCATACATAGAAAGACAGCTTTTATCTTTTCTTTTTTTTCAATAATGAGTAAATCATGTTCATTCGACCGTCATTTATTTCCTTTTCTTCTATATCCGAAAACAATGAGTTTGCTTGTAGTCAGTTTTAAGTGCATGCTCCATTTGTCTTCCTGAATCACAACAAAACCGGTAACAAGAAAGCGGTAACACTTTTCATTTGACACAAACATCCGAGCTTTTGTTCTTCAGCTATATTAATATTGATAATGAAAATTTGAAGCGGCCCAAGAATTTATTAAAGGAAGAATGCCGCATATCAGTCGAGTGTAGAAGAACAGACGAGAGACGATGACTGACTTGCTCATTCAACTCGCCATTCAGTGTGCGTGGACAACTATTTGGGATCAGCGTCTAAAGCTACATGAGATGATGTGGCTTTGAAAGTTTTTAGAAAATGAAAAGGTTTGTCAAAGTTTGCTCGGAAGTTGAACAGAAAAAGTCGAAAAATTGACAAAGTTTTTCATTTCTCTAAAAACTTTCAAGGGCACATCATCTGATGCAGTTGTTGACGCTGATACCAAATATCACCTTATTTTTGCTCTTAAGTGAAGTTTTGATAAATGAAATCTCAAAAAACTGAATACTCGCGTTTGGTTGGCCATCTTGTTTTCAAGTTTTGCACCACTTTTAAAATAAAGCTTTTACGGAACCCCCGATTTCTTTAGGGGAAACACGAACGTCTTCTGGAGGAACACCGATGTTTTCACGAAAAAAGCTCTTGTTGACAAACACCAATTTCTTTCGGCAACAGACGACGGCTAATTGTGAAGAAACACCCATTTCTTTAAGGAATACACGAACGTCTTACGGAGAAACACGGATTTCTTTCGGGAATATATGAAGTTCTTCTGGAGTGAACCTTGATGTTCTTGCGCAGAGACATCGGTTTCCTCAGCAAAAAAACAGAAGCTCATTCCATGAAACATTGACCTATTGCGGAAAAAACCTGAAGTTCTTGTGGAGAAGCATCGATCTCTTCGTGAGATCTCACGAAGAGACCATTACTCATATACATGGAAATATTTTATTGTTATGAAGCAAATCAAACTACTGGACCTTTCCCCTGTTACGGAAAAAATAGTGCTTGTCGATATTTCAATAGTCTTGTCTATGCACTCTTCTATATTATATTACCATTAATGGTTATGGTGATATTTGGGATCTTAACAGTAGGT